AAAAACAATAAAATTATTATACTTTTAGTAAATTTATTTTGAAAATTTTATATTATTCATTTTTTTGATTTATAATTTATAATTTTGCTTTTTGATATTTTTTTGTATATAATATTTTATTAATTTACACAAATTTTCAAAAATTTTTGCACATTTTTGTGTGATTTTAATTTTTGTAATTCATAAATATTTATAATTTTATGCATATTTTTGCTAGTTTTCGACTATTTGTGTTTTGCTATATTTAAATTTACTAAGCCATAAATGTTCGTAATTATTATACCTATATAATACTCTGAAGTTACTATAGCATAAACTTTCATAATTATTATACCTATATAATACTCTAAACTAATTGTAAATTTTTGTAAGTTTACGCTTATATAAAAACTTACAGAGGTTTATATATATATTTTTTTGCCAATGCACTAATAAATCATAGCTACAAAGTATAAAATAAGTTAAATAAAATTTAATTGCAAAATGACTACTATAAAATATACAAATTAATAAAAAAATTATGAATTTGTTAAAAAATTTCTTACTAAAAATACTTTTAATAATTCTGTTTTTATTTTTAATAACTAGAATAGAAAACTATATAATTAGCATTGAAATAAAAAAAATAAATAAATAAAAGCCAAATTCTAAATATATTTATATATTATTGAATCTGTGTAGTTTTATAGTATTATAAATATTTGGTATAATTTAAATATTTGGCACTATGCCAAAATCTGTTTAAAAATATCAAGGTATTGAACCTAGGTGCTGCACAAAAAATGTATAGCAGATCCTCAATTTTGATTGGCTAAGAGCAACAATCAAAAAATTAGGCTAAAATTACTTATAATTTTACTAATTAAATTACAAATGATAATAGTTTCTGGATCAATTTTACTATAATGCAGGCTTATTTCTTAAAAATTTCTATTTTTGTAATAAAAAAATTAAAATATTAATTATAGCCAGAAATTAGTAAACAATTATGTAATATGTGCCAAAATTTTGAAGATTCTCGGCCGTTAGCCAATCAAAATCGAGAATTTGCTACACATTTTTTGTGCAACTTCTAGGGTTAATCAAGGAGTTGCTATGCCATAATCATATGTGTTTGCCAGATAAAGTAATTTGACAAATGATTGGCTACACATGCTCATTTGCCAAATTACTATTATTCAACAATAATATATATATATATTATTTGTTTTGTATAAAATATATATAGTATATAGTAGGGTGTTAATTTATTCTAACTAGTCCAATTGGTGACAAATTACTAGTCTAGAGAAGTATTACTTACTTCCAATAAGTAACCTGTCTTGAAAATGCCTTGAGAAGAAGTTTTTTAATAATCTTTGTTAATATAAAACATTTTAATAATTTTTTAATTTTTTTAAACTTTAATTAAAAATACCTTGCCATATACCTGACTAGATTCAATAAACTTTTTTATTCAAATTCTGATGATTTTTACAATTAAAATAAAAAAAAGTTTATTAAATTTGGTTAGGTGAGTTTTGAGATGTCTTTGATCAAAGGTTTGTAAAAATTTGCTGTGTTAACTTGATCAACATCGACCTGACCAAATTCGATGAACTTGTTTTTATTTGGATTCAATGATTTCTACAATTAAAAGCAAAACTTCATCAAATGAATATTGAGATATCCTCAATTAAAGTTTTATAAAAATTTGAACTTCATCAAATAGAAGCTGTGTTGAAGATTGCTTTTAACTTTGATCAAAGATATCTCAACATCTGTCTGACCAAATTTGATGATTTTTTTTATTTTAATTGTAAATATCATTAAATTCGAATAAAAAAAAGTTCATCAATTTGGTCAGGTGGGTGTCAATATATCTTTGATACTTTTTACCATATCTTCTCATTCTACCAAATACTTTAAATTTAACTCCTGGCCTATCTGGTATACACTTCTCAATATCTTAAAAGCCTTTAATATTCAATTGTCCTTTTACAAAGTTCAAGCTCATTCTGATGACACTTTTAATAATCTTGCAGATTTACTTGCTAACAATCACTCCACTTCCCCAATGTTATCTTTTAACTATATTAATTCTCACAACCCTTACTATATCTTATCAAAGTTTTGTAAAAATTTGATTGTTTTTAACCTTTGATCGAAGATATCTCGACACCCTACTGACCAAATTTGATAAACTTATTTTTATTCGAATTCTGATTGCTTCTACAATTAAAAAAAAAGTTCATCGAATTTGATTTCGAGATATCTTCGATCAAAGTTTAAAAAATTAAAATGATCCACATTAACAGGGGTGTGGAATTATCAAAAAGGGTCAATTCTCTAAAAACATTTGACAAATAAAGTAGTATGGATCTTATACATATCTCTGATTCAAAAGTAATATTATACGTATTATGCCTTATATTGCTTCAGAGGCTTTTATCAGATCAAAATTTTATGCACCTACTGATACTTATAGTTTAGAGTTATTAGAGCTAGACAAAAACCCTTTGATAGCTACCAATTTGATGATAAACTTGTAGCAAAGAGTTAAACTATAAAAAAGAACAGTAAATACACCTAATTCGTTAATTTTATGCGCCACAGCTCTGAGTGCTTCGGCTATCACTTATACACAAAACAAAATTTACTTTATTTATCATTTAGTAAAAAAAAAATAGCTTGTATGTAGTACAGTAAGTGTGGATACAGAATATCTGTGGTAATGTATTGCCTCGATCATTGATCGATTAGGCTTGATGATCGAGCACGATGTTATAAGCTCGATCAAAAGTGAACCAATTAATAATCGATTATGTTAATCGAGTAAAATGTTTAAAATTTGCGATTAAGAAAATCTCTAAAAAATTTTTTATTTTACAGGATATCATTATAAAATACTGTATAATAGATCAATGGCTGACTCAATGATTGGTCGATTATGTATGCTCGAGCAAATAAATTACATACTCGATTAAACATACATAATTGAATTTTGATTGATACAAAAAAAAAAATTTCTATCAATCATCGATCAACGATTTTTTTGTCGAGTCAATCCCCTAATCTGTGGATTTGGAATCCACTTAAATTGAATTCGGATCTTGAAGTTACGGGATTTTATGTGATCATATTAGTAATACAAATTAGTTATGAAATATACTTAAAATAATCTTTTATTTAAGCTAATTTTTATCAAGAATATCCTTTTACTTCGGACAAGTTTTCAAAATGATTTGATTAATAATGTCTTGAGGGAAATCTTAACCCTATTTCATAAAGTGATTATGATTTTATGATACTAGGTTAATTGGACTGAAACCAATCCAAATACTTAAATAATTATGATCACAAAATAGGAATAAATTAGTTACTCCAAACTAACTAAAAAATCAAAGGCAAAAAAATAACAAAGATTATGTATTTCCAAAATAAATCGTACGTACGATCCTATTTATGGTAAGAATGAACTTATTAATTGAATATAACGACTTGAGAGCTACCAAAATAAAGTTGCGAAACCACAGTAATGGAATCTACATTTATTGTGGGTACGAAATACAAATATAAGCGTTCTGATTTGTGTGTCATCCCATGATTTATTTTGCTTATTCGCTTTTAAATATTCAATTCTCATTTAAGTTGTTTTAAGTTTAAAATCAATATACATATACTGTATCTAAAGATACATATATCCACATCATATAATTTGCATTAAATATAATAAGAAAAGTGTTATACCGTATTAAATGGATTACGAATCTATAGATATTCTGTATCCACCTACAACATATATAGCGATCGTTCTTAAAATTTTGTACGTATAGTAATAATAAATAATAAAATGGGTATAGCCATGTTTATCAATGCTTATCTAAACTAAACATACAAATAGTACATTCTAGCTTTATTTTGAGAATAACAAATTAAATACCAAAGTTGGTTTAGTTATTAGATAAGGTTAAATCAGCAAATATTGAGAAAACTGATGCCATGTTGATTATAGGTTCAGATTTTTTTTTCGTGCCATAATTTGATTTATACCTCCTTCTAAATATAGTGAATAGCACTTTGTACCATATTACATTACTAATGATAATCTTCAAGACTATTTTTAATGTTTACCAAAGCTAGATATAATGAACTTTATACTGTTTACATAATTACGCTATAAGTAAAATTTATGACAAATGCCAATAATGAAGGCAATAGAAGTGTTTACTTATAAAATCAAAAAATTACAATCATAGAGAACTTAGAAGATGTAACAGAATAGCGTTGGCGTCATTGTCATTTATTTATTTTATACGTTTGAATTAAAAACTGCCATCTTAAGCGAGTAACATGTTCTCAAACAGGTTCTTTAAGTTTCACATGAAAATCTGACATGTTAGAATATGCATGCACTAGTTGATCCTGCATAAATTTACAAAGAACCGGCTAGAAACTCGTTTTTCTATCGTTTTTTTTAATAAAATTTCAATGGACAGATATCAAACAACGCCAGCTTAACTAGGCGTTAATCATTCCACGTGTTTATATTTGTGTTTGTATTACGCGAACATTTAAACCATTATAATACTGTAATAATGGCGCCAGGAGATACGCGTACTGTACGTACGTACATACATGTTGTAATACAGTATGTTCCAAAATAATATAAAATTACGAGAATTTATTTTTGATGATTCGACATTATAACCTCCGATAAAGCCACATGACAAGGCTGCGGAAATATTTATTGATATATCGAAACATTTAATGTTGTACGTGATTTACTGTTTTCCCCATTTGGGAAACAGGTATGCTTGGTTTCACTAAATCTAAAATGATCTACAGGGTCATTGTTAAAAAACTCATCGTACGAAATGTAATTTATCTAGATTCCTTGTTTACGCTTAACAAAGCGCATTATATAATAGAATGGTTGGTCATTTGGAGATCCGCAAAGACCTTTGTCAAAGAAAAAAAAGAGGGCTGATAAAACATATATAAGCTTGATTTGCATTCCAATGTCTTTTCATCGCATCACGGACTCATTTACTTTGCAATACCAGTCTACTTTTCAAATCATTCTGAGAGTGGCTACTCTCCGGTAGAGTTTTCCTCTTTAAAACTAAACCATAAAGACATCTTGCAGAAATAATCTATCATAATATAGCCACACTAAGAATACATTCCCTTAAATCATCGCCAACTATATCAATTCCTTCCGCCATGAAGCCCGTAATATTTGTTTTATTCTCTTTGATTGGTACTTGCTGCAGTTACGTGATAAACACAGGTAAAGCATCACCTGAACTTGAAGAACGTCAATGGAATGGTGGTCTCTGGAAACGAGATGCCTCCCCCGAAGCTGAACTTGAAGAACGTCAATGGAATGGTGGTCTCTGGAAACGAGATGCCTCCCCCGAAGCTGAGCTTGAAGAACGTCAATGGAATGGTGGTCTCTGGAAACGAGATGCCTCCCCCGAAGCTGAGCTTGAAGAACGTCAATG